CATAGTATAATTATTCTTAAGAGCCAAAAGGATAAACAACCTTAATGTCTATCAACTTGTAAACATATACAAAACATGGTATTATCCATACTATGGAATATTATTCAGGAATGATTTATTGATGTGTGATACTACATGAATGAACCTTAAAATTTAAAAATATGGGCTGGGCATAGTGGTTCACCTGTAATCCCAGGTACTCAGGAGGTGGAGATCAGGAGCATACGATCAAGGCCAGCTCAAGCAAAAAGTCAGCAAGACCCCTATCTCAACCAACAAGCCAAATGTGTTGGCATCACCTGTGGTTCCAGATAGGCAGGAGGCACAGGTAGGAGAAGCATAGTCCAAGGGTGTCCCCAAGCAAAAACACAAGACCCTATCTGAAAGATAACTAAAACAAAAAGGGGCTGGAGGGTGTAACTCACATGGTAGTGCCTGCATAGCAAGCGTAAGACCTTGAGTCCAAACCTCAGTACCACAAAAAAAAAAAAATTAAAAACATTATGCTAAGTGAAAAAAAAACAGACATAAAAGCCCACATATTATATTATTCCATCTACATGAGATGTCCAGAACAGACAAATCCATAGAAATAGAAAGCAGATTAGTGGTTGCCAGGACTGAACAGGGAAAAAAACAGGGAGTTATTCGTAATGTGCATGGTCTTTCTTTTCTGGGTGATGGAAAACTTCCGGGATGCGATCATGGTGATGGCTACATAACATTGGGAATACACAAAACCACCAAACTGTGCACTTCAAAATGCTTTTTTAAACTATAGATTTTATAACATGACTATCTTGACTAACTAGAAAATTAGTACAAAAAAGAAAAAAAAACCAAACAAACAAAAAGTAAGCCAAAGAGTGGAATAGGTCCTAAAAGGCATAGAACAACAAAGAGGAAAGGTTTTCAGAAAGAAAAGGGTCCAAAAATTGATTCTAAATGCAACTTGCTTTGACTCTTTTTAAAAAAATAAATAGCCAACGACTTTTTCTGTCTTACAGACATTATATGAAATTAGCAATGATTTCTACATGTAATATAGGAAAATTTGAAAAATGTTTGAGGAAACATGTCAATTTTCTAAAACTTTGAGCATATTTATATATGTAAAAACTACATAAGCAATCATGACCAGAGCTAACAACAAACTAGAAAACAAAGTTATAATCACCTGTATTTATGACCTATGTATCTATAAAAATATAATCCAATGCAACCCAAAGTATGCACACACTGGATCATATTTTAAAGATCCCATAAAGTTTCTTCTAAACAAGAGAACAAAAGCTGTTTTATTTATTTTTTTATTTTTCGGTGGGACTGGGGTTTGAACTCAGGTCTTTGAGCTTAAGTGCTATACTGCTTGAGCCACACCTCCAGTCCATTTTGCTCTGATTATTTTGGAGATGGGGGTCTCACTCACTATTTGCCCTGGCTAACCTCAAACTGCGATTCTCCCAATCTCAACCTCCCAAGTAGCTAGAATTATAGGCATGAGCCACTGGTGCCCAGCAAAAGCTGTTTTAATACTCACTTCTTATTAATGCCACTGCTAATATTAAAACTATGCTTTTAAATATAAATTCAGTAATCATATTTGCTCAGTTGCCAGCCTTACAAAGCTTTAAATAGGCACCTACACTATACAGACATATAAGGATAGGATAGTCTGCCATACATCTAATTTCCATCACTAGTTTTTTCTTACATGTTAAATTCAGTGGGGCGATGATTTGATTTGTCTTCTTTCTCTAGAGAAGCAATATATGATTTCTTTGCAGTGCATTTATTGTACTAAAAAGAAGCAACAAAGTCAAAACCACATTCTTGACTTCTTGCCCATTCTATGCTCGTAGGACAAATCAAAAGTGGAGTACCAGCCTTCTAATTTAGCAATTACCATAGCAACAGTAGTCTTACTCAAAGAAAGGACAGTTCAGGCCTCTCAGCTTTTGCTATACCTAAGACATGTATACATTTGTAAATGAATAACTCAGGTGCTTCTATGGTTCTGAATATAATGAAAGCATTTTAAAGCTTCCAGGATATATAAATTTCTGCCACAGAAAAATTAAGTTAAAATATGGAGTGTGAGGATAAAACTAGTATTCTACACAGAAAGCTCTATACAGTAATAAATATCAGCTTAGAGGGCAGGGAGAGATAATTTTTAATAAAAGATTTTTGGTAGAAATACTTCCCGGTCCATCTCAGTTTTCTATATATGCATCTAATAGCAACAATCTCTTTTGTAAAGTTCTAAGAAATAAAGCATCAGAAAAACAAGATTTTGTCAAGGAATAAAGTAGGAATCATACCTTGGATTTCAGTTTCCTAAGTCTCAAACTTTTGAACAAAGAATCAACCATTCTCAGATATACATAAATGATTAAAAAAGAAAAATCGTGGGGATTTCATAATCTAACTTTTGTTCTAACTGTCCAGACTTGCTTCTGATGAAAAGTCACTAGAGAAGTTCTTAATTTCTTCATTTTTAAGTATCATTATATAAGGCTAACAAAAAATAATGGTCAAAGTTTTAATTTAGGCTACTGCTTAAATCCCTTTTAATAATACAAACAAGATACTGCTATTTACTTTGAATTCACAAACATCTGGTTTACTCTCTCGGGGTATTTGAGTCTATAAAACTTTAAAGGACTAGAATAAATATGTAGGAAAGGTTTAAGATGGGAAAAACTAATAGTACTGATAACAAGTATTAATCTCCCTATGTATTATCTCTGTTGAGTTGTGGTAGGTAATCTTAGGTCATAGTAACTAAGTGAAAATGGGAATTACATATGGTCTGTGAGGAATCCATAACAACCAAATGCTCAGCCCTTTATTAGGACATTCTCCCTAGAGATTGTTATGGTGATGGCCATCTTCTGCTAAGGCAGAAGTCACCACAGGGGAGTCACTATTCTATTTTTGCAACTGCTTATGAGTCTGTAATTATTTGAAAATAAATTTAAAAAGAGAGGGTTTGGGGTAAACACATGGCTCACACCTGCCTAGCAAGCACAAGACCCTGAATTCAAACCCCAATACTACCAAAAGAAAATACAGACTGTGGAACCAAACCACCTGGGTTTGAATACAGGCATAATTATTATGTGACCATCCATGTGACCTCAACCAAGTTACTTAACTTCTCTGTGCTTTACTTTCCTCATTTGTGAAACAAGGATGACAGTAGTATTTACCTAATAAAGTTGTTGTGTGGATTAAAAGATACAAACACATGAAAATCACTTGCAACAGTGCAGTCTTCAGCCATTATTAATACCATTATAGAATGTTTTTTATTTATTCTAAGCTCATTTTCTGCTCTAGAATTACATGCATTTAAGGATGGTTATTTTTGTCCTACTAATGTGGAGGGATACTAAGTACAGTATAAAAAAGAGAAAAATCTTGGCAGACCTTGAAGACAAAATTTTAGCTCAGTTACTTATCTTTTGTCCAGAACCTGGGATTCAGTGTCACATTTATACAGACATACGCATATTTATCCTTTCAAAAATGAATATATTACAAAGACCTGTGCTGTTGGAAAAGGAGTATCAGTTAACTATATAGCCTGAATTCCAGGGCATGATGTACCAGGATCACCTCTACCAGGTAAAGGCCCTATTTGGAAAGATCTCAAGAACAGAAAATTTCACATTCTCCTTGGACAATCTTATCAGGGCCTTGAAGATGTCAGGAAATTATTCTTCCTCCAGTTTACACTTACTATCTCTTGTCACCAGTGGATATAGAAGATAAATTTTAAACTTTATACCTGAAGACTCCTACTGGATCATTCTTTTTACTTTCCTTACACATACTATCTTTCCACAAGTGGAAAAGTTATTGAAAGTGTTACATAAAATGAAACACATTGAAGCACTTAGCTCTGTACTTGGTACATAGTAACTATTTAATGTACTTTTCTTTTCTGCCTAACCAGGGACTAAATTGATTACTTCCACCAGAATACAAAGCAACTGAAGTGTTCTAGTTAAAATTTCATAATGAACAGAAAAAGTAAGCTCACAAATCCCTAAAATTTACTTGGTGTTTTCAACAAAACAAATAGAGAACCAGACTCCAGTTGTTCTTTCTTGTCCATCCCACTCAGTTGTCCCAAATACAAACTTTTAGCTACAATGGTACTCTTTTAAAGTTAGATATTTTAAATTGAAATAGTTTAACAAACATATACTATAGACTTAATTTGTGAACAATTTCTTAATGTTTTCCTTAGCCTCACCTAAGCCTTGTTCAGTAATACTTCCTCTTAAGATGATATTTGCTCTTCTTACAGTTATTATAAATGTGTTCTTCCCTCCCTTTCAAAATGTGAACTCTTGTCAGAAAAGGCAGATTTTATAAAAATAAAACAACTACATCATTATTGCAACATGCTAGAATATAACTGTGAGAGAAAATTATTTTAGTAAAGGTGGTATCTTGTTACTTCAGTTTGCAAGTCTCATGTCTCTTTTCTAGCAAATTTTAAAAACCAGAACAGTCTGTATGCCGCTCACAGTATCAGTGTTTTCTGCTGAGTTTTCTCCTCCTATTCTTCAGATTCTATTCCAAAAGTGACAAAGCATGAATGGGAAAAATACCAAACCTTGATTTTTCAGACAACTACTACTTGAAAAGTACTTTGGAAAAATTCTGTCTTCACTTTCAACCTTCTTTGCTTCAAAAAGAACTTGGCTTTTGTCATAATCAAACACCATGACAGACCAGTTAAATAAACCCTTTGATTTGCAACCCACTTTATCCTCAAATGCCACCATATTCCTAAGGATTTTTTTAGTCTGTCAATAGCAAGACCCAGTTAAAGCAGGATTTCTAACACAAAGTTGCAAAATCTAAGTTCTTAAAAAGACTGCCTTCAATTCAAAAGAAGGAATAGTGAGATTCTTCATAGATTGCTTTTCTTCTACAAGAGAAGAACAGTTTTAAAAATTTTTAACTAGAATAATGGTTACCTTAAGGAGATACTGTATTCAGGATAGAAGACACTTGTATATTGGACCCATGTACCAGCCTCCTTTTCAATTTCCCTTTTTTTGGCTTCTGTTACTGAAAACAGATTAAATGATTCAAATCTTCTTACAGATACATGTCGCAGACAATCATCCAGGTGTTTCTGCTTCAGAACCTTTGAAACAAAATCAAATATTGTGGTCATATTACATAAACATATCATAAGTGTTCAAAATTTAAGTGGTAAGGGAACTTTTACTTCCAATAATAGTAGATTAGATAAATCAAACCAATTTCCTACTGGCACAATGAGAAAAGATGAAATAAAATATTAAGAAAATATCTGAAGACATTGGAGAACAAAGAAGATAATGAAGATTTACCAGTCTAATATCTTGTAAAGCAGATGAACCTAAAGGGGTAAGCATAGCTCTCATAACCACTTTTCTCCTGGGAACATTTGTCAATTCCTAAAGAAAGAACTGAGAAGATAAACTGTACTTTTCTCAGCCCATGATGGCAAAACTAGATGGTAAAAGTTGAATTTCAAATTTACCTAGGCAGAGGAAATATGCTATTCTGAACCTAGTGTGTGTGTGTGTGTGTGTGTGTGTGTGTGCATCTGTATATGTATGTGTCTCTGTGTGTGTATCAATAAATTTTGTTGATGCCATTTTAAAAATCAGTATTTTTTAAGTGCAAAAGAAAGAAGATATAGCTATAAGATTGATAAGGTTAAGCACAAATCTTATCCTTATCAATTTTAATAGCTCAGATCTTAATGAAAGAATAATTAAACTAATAATTTATTTTATTTTTTTAAACTATACATTTATTTCCTACATCTGATTACCACTGAAAAGATCTAGAATCAATGATCAAACTTGTAGCAATGAACATACCTATGGCCCAAATTGTTGTCACTGAATACTATTTTCTATTAAAACAAAGTAAGACCCCTTGGAAAAATGGCAAGAATTGCATAAGATGAGCCTGGAACTCCTGCACATAAGAAAATAAGAAATATATTTTTAAAATTCTATTTTATGGCAAAAGGGCTTGGGAGCCAACTGGAATAGGGTCCATTGGCCAAAGGTAGAACAAAGTATTAGTGGAGGTGATAAATGCAATAGAGTCAAAATACATTACTACTTCATAATGGCATTTTGAAAATGCTCATTGATGACCGTTCAAGGATACTAGAGAACCAGCTAATTACTCTGAAAATTAGTAAATAAGAATAATCAAGTCTTCATCTGCCTTTCCTACACTCTAACTGAGGGTATCTAAATAGAAAATGAGGGAAGTTTCTGTTTATAGCTACATCCTAAGGAAAACATGAAGAATGACAGAATTAAAATACCATAATTTTTCAATTACCTCATCAGCTCATGAATCTAGAAATAACTGGACATTACTGCATAACTGGACATAAAATATAATAGAAATTTTAAACTATTTTGAACTGAGTAATAAACATACAAATATATAGCAGGGAGAACCCACAACACTAAAGCTGTTTCTTTGAAAAGACTGATAAAACTGTCAAATTCTTGAGAAGAATTTCAATGAGCAAAATAGAAGTTATATCAATGGGATATAGGGATATCAATATACATTCTATAGTAGTCATTAAGAAATAATAGTAAAAGGATATTATGACAACTACTTTGAAAATTTAGATGGACTAAACAAATTTCAAGAAAAATGTAATTACCCAATTGACACAAGAAATATTAAAAATCTGAATAGCCCTAAAATATTTTAAAAATTGGTATCAAAAAGAAAAACCTTACCACAAAAAAAAAACTCCAGCTCCAGATTACTCAAAAGAAATTTACACCAAATGTGTGTAAAAATTAATGCAAATTTTACCACACTGTTCAACAACTCTATGAGGTAGATAATCATTATGAGAGAAGAAACTAAGGGACGAGAAAGTTACATAATTTGCCCAAAATCAGGTAGCTTATAGGAGGCAAAGCCAGAGTTAAAAACCAGGTAGTCTCACCATAGACCCTGAACTCTTTTAACACCTCTGCTTATACAGAATATGACAGACCAGCATTAAATATCCATTCACCCTTCCTTCTAAGATACTTTCCTATATTATAAGCTGGAAAACTAGAATTATATTTCACAGAATCCCTAGTAGCCAGAGTTTCAGATGTGATTTTGGTTTAGATACACTAACATGAGATTTAAAAAGAAAGATGGTACTGGTAAGCATAGTTGTAAAGACATTTGATTCCCCCAAAGCATCTTTAGCAGAGGTTCCAGTGATGCCTCTCATTCATTGACAGGTGAGAAGCTTAATAAGTGGCATCTGGCAGGCAAGCTGTATGCAGTCTATAGTTTGGTGGCAGCTTCCTGATCACCAGAGATCAGCTGAAGTAGGTGAACCTGGAGCCAGCTTCAGGTTCTTCATTGTGTCATTTCTCATGGCAGGCCAGCTTTGTGTTTTTCTGGTACTCATTCTTAGACCGTTCCTCCAGAACCTCCAATAATTTTATAAGCATTTAATTCACTCTACCAAACCCATTTCTGTTTAAAGTAGCAACAGTGGTTTCCGTCATCTGAAAAAGAACACTTATTCCAATCATATCAAATTCTTATGAGTACAAGGAAAACCTAAGATCAGAACCAAGGAAGAAAACACATCAGAATGAATATCTCTTTAAGAGAAAAAGTATCTGCTTAAAATTTATAAACTATGTAGAAGATTTAAAAGATTGATTTTTTGAATGGAGAGTCAGAAATGGTAACCTCTTTTTCAAAGTTTCATGAGTAAAAAAATAAAATATTTTAAAAGCCTTTCCCCAAAACAGTCTTATTATCTGCCAGCTATTTTATTTATGAGGAAGAAAAACAAACTACTTAGTAGAGCTTACTCTAGGATCTATTCTAAAGTCCAAGAACAAACATCTTTTCATAGTTATTAAATTATTCTGATGTCAAGGTAATGACACCATAAATCACCACACATAAAATTCCAGAAAGGGCTTTTACTACTTAATAAATCCCATGGTCTACAATATGACAAGGTGACACTCAATGGAAGTAGCAGGCAATATAGTTAGAACAAATAAAAGGTTTCTGTTGCTTCTTTTTAGCTCAAAGTTTCAGTTATTTTAATGCTAGGAATAATATTTGTAGCTTTATAAGCCAAGAGGACCTCCTATCAACTTAATAACCTTATCATCTACCATTTCCAGAATATCTCCTTCCAACCCCTTGATATATAATAATATTCAAATGGAATTATCTGGGTTAAGGGAAATTGTTCGAAATCAAGGTATTTTTATCATTCTTCTAAATCAATGAGCTATTTAATCAGATGTTAATGTTATAGCAAATAAGTTAATGTCAAAATGTTAAATTTCAGAAAGAGAAGAAAAAGGCATTAATTAAAGAAAAAAACCTAAGGTCCCATCAAGTAAACAATATATGCAAATGAAAATCAAAGGTACATTTATAAATCTAAAATGTCTGCTTACTCCACAATTACTAAATTGAACAAAACTATGTAAGAGTTGTAATAAGCAACATTCTACTAAAAACAGTATCACTCAGGAAATAAGGCACTGCAAGAGTACCTGACGCTTGGTAGTTCATAATACTCTGAGCCCAGTCTCTTCCTGTAAGACAGGAATAGTGATATATCTTTCTTCCTAACAGAGTACTTGACGCACAATAGTTGGAGACCTAAAGGCTTTTCTAAAACTTATATGAGACAACATCTGCCGTGTGGAAAGTGTATGCTAAGAGTTGGTACTCAAAAACAGTTAACTCACTTCTGACTAAACAAAGCAAACAGAATGGGCACAGCTATCTCCCATCCTTCCCAAACCCCAATACCAGTTAAGGAGCAAAAACTCAAAAGGACAATGAGACTAGAAGGGCAAATGATGAGTAGCAACTAATTTGGCAATTAGGAAAAAACTGAAATCTAAATGCCAGCAGTGGGGAAACCAAGAAAAAAAGCAAAGTCCTATCACAGACTTGGGAGAGACTAAATTATTATAGGCACTAATTACTTAGGATAGTCAGAATACAGCAGATGAGACAGAGGAGTGCTATAGAATGGATGATGAATGATCATCTTGGTCTCCAAGGTGATACTACTGGGAGGTTGTGGAAACTTTAGGTGATGGAGCTGGGCAGGCGGGGGGGTGTCCTTGGATGATTGGGGATATATCTACAAAGGGAACCATGGGATCCCAGCTCTTCCTCTTTTGCTTCCTATCATAAAGTAGTTTAATCTATTTACTACATACTCCCCACTTTTGCTCGTCATCACCTGCACCAGAGGCCTAAAAGCAATGGATCCACTCAATCATGGACTAAAATCTCTAAAACCAAGATACACCTTTTCTCTTTATAAATTAATAATCTCAGGTATTTTGTTAGTAATGGAAAGCTGACTAACACAACGAATAAGGCTAAACACTCAAATATTATCTGAAAACCTTTCAAAAGAGTAGCTATATTCTCTGATTCCATCAGCAATGCCAGATAATTCCTCTTTCCCACAGTATAAGTCTGAAGGATGAATTCTGCAGAAGATGAATCCCAGGCACTCTGAACTTAAACATCAAGCACAGCTTAGAATGGCATAAGATGTGATTCACTCTACTCAATATCCCTTTCTGTTACTTAGCTTCTAGATCACAAGCAATAAGTCCAGAAAGGCGATTGTAGTACTCCTGAGGATATTGAAACAAGAGACCTGTATATACTGACATTTGGGATTCCCTAACAAAATGGTCAATGCCTGCAGAAGTTACCCTATAGTTCAGAGGCCTTTAATTTAGTCAGGATTGTTTAAAATCAGAACAGTGCTCTGAGCTCAAAAACACACCTGGCATTCCAGCTACAGAGATGTACAAATAGCATTCTGGTCCATGCTGGTACTGGGCATAAAGTAAGACCCTATTCTGGCGAGCACACGCCAGAATTTCCTTGACACCTGCACGTAAGTGAAGTCATCAGACACTCTAAAGTACCAGAAGTCACCGTCATCACCAGGACAACGCGCTCTGACACCTGGGAGAGCGAGTGTCACTTCACATACACGACATATGGGTGTGTGTGTGTGTGTGTGTGTGTGTGTGTGTGTGTGTGGAGAGAGAGAGAGAGAGAGAGAGAGAGAGAGAGTTCTTCCTCTCTTCTTACTCCCTTCTCTCCCGGCTGTACGGAGGAAACCGGGGTGACACGTGCAATGTCACTGTCCCCATACAGCCAGCCACACTGATCTCCAAAACACTTGGTGCCCGACGAGCAGACTAGGAACAGATGACCAGAGTCAGGCTGGGAGTTAAGACGGAAGAAGAAATCTGTGGAATAAGGGAAAGCAGAAGCAGGAAAGCGGGGCAGCACACGGTGGGGAGCGACTGGCGAGCAAGGGGACCGTCCCCCGCAAACGTCCAGGAGGGGTCTTCCACTTCCATCGAGTGTCCCGCGAGCTCAGCCATGGCTGTCCCGCCCCCCCACCCTGTCCCACCTCTTTGGTGGGACGCTTGGCAAGTGGCTCCGAGCAAACTGAGAGGGACTTCCCCAAAACTGCTAAGTAGAGCGAGCTGCCGCCGGCCAGTCGCTCACGGGATACCTGCGAGGGGAGTGGCCAGAGGGAAAGGCGAGGCGAGCCGGCTCTCCATTACCTGCCGCAGGAGCTTCCAGCGGGCGGCTCCTAGGGACGCCGAGACCACGGGCCCCCGGGCGGCGCCTCCAATCGTCGGACACACGCCTGCGACTCGCTCAGTGTCGCCTGCTCCGGCGTCTGCGACGTGCGACTCCATCTCACCACTAGAGCTGCCTTAACGCGGATTTGCTGTTCACACAGCTTTCCCCAGTCAGGACCTGCCAACTTCTTTCCTGCCCGGACCTGTGACGCCCGGCCTCTCGCCAGCAGCTCTCGCGCGCGTGCCCTCCCCGAATTCCGCATTTCCGGGATTCGTGTCTCCTTGGCAACCCGGGAAGCGCTGTCACGTCATTGCACCAGTTTGTTGGTAGCCATCTTGAATGAGGGCAGGCCAGAAAATGAGGGTGGGCTGCGGTAGAGCTACTGGGACAATTTCCCACGTGGTTTTCTTCTTTCCTGCTTCAACTAGAGCTCAGAAGACTTCCAAAGAACCAAAAAGCTTGTATCTTTTAAGACTGAAGAATCCAGGAGTAGAAAAGCCCATCCCTGACCACAATAAAGATGGCGAAATGTGCTTAGCGTTCTTGCTGGATTGGGGTTACGTAGATCGGCGTGCTGCAAACCAGCTCTGGGCGCTCTGGGTAGGTTGCTGGGTGCAAAGCGCAGACCTCGGGTGGGACGTGGTTGTGGTGACTCCTGTTCCTTCCACAGAGCTTCGGGTTCTCCGGCCTGTCTTTGTGACCAGAACCGGACTCTCATTTTGCGTACGTATGGAGGGTGTACTGGGGTTCCCTTTCCTAATCCCTCTCCTCCCCGCACCCAGCCACCCCTCAGTGCCCTGGTCCCTCCTTTTGACCCGGGTCTCTTCACTGCGTGGTAACTGGTACCACTCCCTCACGCCCTGAGAGATGTTTTTTGTAGATATTTGCCGCGTCCCTAGAGTGTATGTTGCACAGGAAAACGAATAGTTCTCCTGGGAACATCCATTTATCATCCCACCCCCCCTCCCTAGCCTGGCGAACTGTCTTCTTCCTGCGGATGAAAGATAGATAGTTGGAGGCAGTGAGGAGAGATATGGTGATGTAGGTAGGGGGCTTTTCCTTTTTTTTGTTAGTGTCAGTTGCTGATCCTCATCTCCATTTGCCCATTATTTTGCTGCGACATACAAGATTAAGGGGGGAGGGGCGCCATAGTGATCAGATCCCTGGTAAATCTGACGCAGTATGCTAGGATAACGAGGGACATCTTAGAGAATTCCATGGTTACATTCAAGAGTGTACAACATACCTAAATTATTCCTGTGCTAATAATATTTACCTGTTGTTGAGTGTTTCCTACATGCCAGATACTGTATTAAGATCTTAACACAAATTGGACTTATTATTTAACAACAACCCCCAAAGGTAAGTGGTGTCATTATTTTAGTTTTGCCGATGAAGAACCTGAGATCCAGAGATGCAGGTAGTTAAGGGCAGGGTTCAAAAACTGAGCCCAGGTCTCTCATTTAATTACTTAACTAGCTGTCCAGGTTAAAAAGAACCTACCTCCCTGCAGAAACCTGAGATAGCCTCACGTTTTATTTGTGCATCTTGCAGTATTTGCTTTCAATTAAAGGGCTAATTACCCTTTTACGATTAAAGTCAACAGTTTGTGTACAAAATTTGGAATCAAATCAGATCAAATTTTTTGTTACACTACTTACTGCCCAAGTGACTTGGGGCATTTGTTTAAACCTCCCAAAGCCTCATTTCGCTCATGTGGAAAATGAGCATCAGTATAGCTGCCTTATCAAGTACCTATGAAGTTTAAATTAGAGTAGATAAAAAGCATCTGGCACATAGCCAACACTCAACAATTAGTCTCCCTTCCCCCATGTTTATTAAGTAATTTGGCTTTTCCAGTTTGTCCTCCACATACATACTGAAGATATGTTCGCAGTTATTAAGATCAAACCCATTTTCCGTTTTAAAGCCCTCATAGTTCTTAAGATTCCTCATTAAGTCTGCACTTAATTTGCAAATTTTTATTTTGTTTCTTGTTTTCTGTTTTAGTTTGACCATATGTGTACCAGAGTCAGTGCTGCATAGCTTGAGCCAAATAAAATTGACTTTACAAATGAGACTATTAAATCACATCTGCCAAGAAGTTATGATTTGAATGAAACTTTAAATTATGCAAGTTTTTAAGTTTATTTAATCTAAGTTATTAGCCATCTGCATTTATTTATAGCCTAAGGGGTTTATAGCCCTGGGATAAGATCTGGCAATCTTAGAAGCTCTGAAAACCCACTACTGTATAATCATACATATGAATCATTCATGTGCTGGCAGTCCCTACGGGAGCATATACCAGGGACTTTGATATCATGCAGCAGAAGACCAAATTATTTCTCCAAGCTTTGAAGTATAGTATTCCTCATCTTGGGAAATGCATGCAGAAACAGCATTTGAATCACTGTAACTTCGCTGATCATTATTATAATAGAATAAAATTGAAAAAATATCACCTAACCAAGTGTCTGCAGAGTAAACCCAAGATATCAGAGTTAGCAAGAAACATCCCAAGTCGGAGCTTCTCATGTAAGGTATGGACTATTTAAGTTACCCTATTTGTAGGTTATTAAGGTTAATTTTAGTTAAAAAAATACAGAATGGATAAGATATCAGAGTTACTAGTTTTCTAAGTAATTCTAACTTGATTTTAAAGTTTTTCAAGCTCAATTATCTATAGTCAAATATAAGTATAAAAGAATGCATACATGTCTCTTTAGAGAACTAAAATGTAATATATGAAAATGTAAAAATGATTCACCTCAGGATTTCCTTAGTGTGCTTGCCTTGTGTTTCAAAATATAATTCAGCTTCCTAGAATACAAAATTATAGTTCTGAATAAATCCTAATAATAATGCTGATTGTTTTATGAATCCCAAGTTAGCAAACTTAAGTAAAGACTATATGATTGTGTGTTATTCCCCTGTTTAAAAAAAAAAAAAAAAGAAAAACTGTTTTGCATGTTTTATCATTTGGGTCCTTCACGAAGACACTCAGACTATTGTACTTCTGCCAAACCCCAAGCTGTGGAATTGAACTCAACCTTGAGGACCTGATTGCCTTTATAGAGAGAGTGACCACATGTTCCATTTTGCCTGGGACAGTCCCAAGTCCCAACAACACCACCTGTTGTAATTATTAATAGTCCTCTTTCCTCTCAAAAGTGTCCCAGTTAAGTTGTTAAAGTATATGGTCATCCTGCTTATTTGAAATTAAGGCGTTTATACTGCTGCCTCTTTGACAGATAATCCTGTCTTTGGCTATGTTCCTTAAGTTCCTTAAACTACATGTGGGGTATATTGATAAAATTTTTACGTTTTTTTTACGTTTGCCTACTGGACTAAATCTTGGCTCTTTAGATTGTTTTATTCTGTATTGTGTTTAGAACATTTTGTATGTAATTTATAAAGAGTAGGTGAGACTTGCTTCAGAGTTGCAGCTGTGAGATTAGCTCACACCCCAGACAGGAGGCTGACTATTTTTCCCTCCATTTGTCCCTATAGCAACTTTTCAGTTCTCTCTCTAGATTCCCACTCCTAGAAACTATAGCCTGACTCAGCAACTCCAAGAACAGAGGCTCTTTTATTAATTTTTTTTTACCTGATAAATCAGTCCTGCTCCACACATTGTATATCAACCATTCTCTCTATGATAAATGATTGATCAAATGCTGTGGTCTTAAGCTGGGCACTGATGGCTATGCCTATAAATCGTAGCTACTTGGAAGGCTGATCTGGGGAGGATTGTGGTTCGAGGCCATCCTGGGCAAAAAGGTTCACAAGTCCCCATCTCAATAGCTAAGCATGGTAGTGTCTGTCTGTCATCCAAGCTACACAGCAGGAAGCATAAAATAGGAGGATCATGGTCCATACCATCTTGGGCAAAAAGTGAGACTCTATTTCCAAAATAACCAGAAGAGAAAGGGCTAGATGGAGGCGTGTCTGAAACTGTAGAGTGCCTTTCCAACAAGTGCAAAGCCTTGAATTCAAGACCCAGTACCTTAAAAGAAAAAACGAAAACTTTATTCTTATGATCACTGAGACCTGGAGAAGCTTTGTAAAGATACTCCTGCTGCTGTAAAGATAGTCAAGACAAGAATACATTTCCTTCTTTCAGCAAGCATCCACCAAGTTCCAACTGTCCATTCTTACTGGTTACATTAAAGTAGAAAAAAATTCAGTATATCTCTTTAAAGACCTATCACCTTTATAACTAAAGAACAAGAGAAAACAGGCTGTGTTATAGAAATGGTGGAAAGCAAAAGAACTAGCCTTGACTGGTTAACTGTACTAATCAGGAATTTTCATTTTCTTGGTGTTCCTAAAAGTCCTCTAAGAGCTAAAATTTCATGATTTTCTACTTCTCTCTGTCTTATTACCTTAGCAACAAATTAGTACCTATAACTTTGGGATTATTTAGCAGTACCACCTTTTGCAGCCGAGGTATATATCAGAAATCCTGGGGAGTTTTTTTAGAAATACAGATCCTGAATCTCACCCACATCTGCTGACCCATATCACTACAGTTGAGGCTTAAGGATCTAGTTGATTGGTTGGTTGATTGTTTTTGAGGCAGTCGTGTCATGTTGTCCAGCCTGGTCTCAAAAACCTGGCCTCAACCCATCCTTCGGCCTCAGCTTCCTGAATAGCTGGGAACTACAGCTACTCGATTAAACAAGTCCGTTTCTTAAAGTTCTTCAAATAATTCTGAAAAATTCCTAGCCAGCCATTGACAGCACACTTATATTTAGAAACTGGAGATACTTGGCGATCAAGTGTTTTGATCTAAACTTAATTCATTCTATTGTGAAGTTCTTTTTGGCAAGTAGCTTAGCTTTCCATTTGCATTAACCAGATGGCAAACTTATTCCATTACACTCACATGCCCACTAATTGATAATCAAAGGCTAGCATCAAACCAGATACCACATTTGTCTTCCCTATCATCTTCCACTGTTCTGCCTATAAGTAATTTCTGAAATCTTTGATCATGATAATATGAACAAGATTTTTTTTTAGTAAGTAAAGAGATGACTTAAATTCTTTGGTTAAATATGTGTTATTTGTCTTTACCATACAGATTAACTGTTCTGCAATGGTCTCTTCCCTCCCCCCGCCCTCAGCCTCCACCTAGGAAATTGAACCCAAAGTCTCATGAATGTTAGGCTAGTGCTCTACCACAGAACTACACCCCAGCCCTGGCCTCTTAAATATGTAGGTTGACAGATATTTTCTTCACTGACAGTATGATTTGTGATTTGTAAGAATCACTGGTTATA